TCATCAAGCCATGCCGAGGTGGCATGCCACATAGCAGAGCCAGAAGGACCTACAACTAGAATGTACAACTATGTACTGGGGGGCTTTGGGGAGAAGAAGATAAAAGGAAGATTGGCAACTGACGTCAGCTCAAGTACCAATCTTTAAAAATAAAATAAAATGAAATGTGATTTTTTTGAAATTATATATTGAAATATGCCAACATTTAGAAGTCTGCACAACTCGGTGAATCAATTTTCCCAAATGACCAATGCATGATATTACAAAAGCATGCATAGGCAAAAGATACATTCAAAGTGTAAGATAGTCCAATGGCTTTAGTGTAACAGAGTATGAAAAATTCACTGAATATAAAAAGGTCATTGATATGGTTTCAGATTCCACAGTGCAAATAACTCCTAAAAAACTACCACTTGTTCAGCTTTGGTATAATATGAAAGAATACCTAAAATTATCTGAAAAGGCTATTAAAATACTCCTCCTTCTCCTGGATTTTATTCCTCTACTTGAACAAAAACAACAAATTATAAGAAGACTGAATATAGAAGCAGATATGAGAATCCAGTTATCTTATATTAAGCCAAACATTAAAAAAATTTGCAAAACTTTAAAACAACGCCACTCTATTCAGGAAATTTTTGTTTTAGAGAAACACAATTATATTTCATAAAAATTATATTATGTTAACATCTAATGGGTTTATTATTCTTTTTAAATGAACAAATATTAAATTTTTTCTTACATGAAAAGACTATTAAAATAAATAAATAAATAAATTTTTTCTGTTTTACTTTTTAATTCAGTAAATTATATAACTCTTATAAACAAAAGCTCTTTGAGGTCCTCAATAATTTTTGAAGGTATAAAGAAGTCTTTAGACCAAAAAGTTTGAAAAGCATTTAACTAATATCACTTTGCTGCTCAAAATTCATTACCTACAGAATAAGTCCACTTTTCTTAGCAAGACAATCAAGGGCCTGATCAAACCCTGACTTAATTTTTACAAGAAACATTTCTCATAAAATCCTATTTACGGTATACTCATATCTTATGCTCCAGCCACAAATAAGTTATTTGCCTTGTGCAACACCCATATATTTTTACAGTTCTGGTAACTTTGCTATCTCCTCCCTCAGGAAATCCTCTACCTCTCTTTCCCATCTTGACCTGTTGAAATCTTACTGATCCGTCAAGACTGATATTATTGCCTGTGCCCAGGGAAATTTCTCATGACCACCCCCAGTTGGGATGAATCTTCTTGCTTTTCTCATAATAACTTGTTTGAACATACACATATGCTAGAATTATATCTCAATCATAATTATCTCTCATACTAAACTGTAATCTCACTAAAGGCATAAAATACATCTCTTACATCTTAACAAACCATTCCACCAAATACAGAGCTTTTCATATAGTTGGCATTCAACAAAAACTTGTGGAAGAATGAATAAAAGTTTAACCTGCCTATGAGTAAGCAGTGGTACACTTAATCCTCAAACTGCAGAAGGTACTCCTTTTTCCTATGTGGTTAATTAATATTTTACAGGTAAATTTTCCTAGACTAATATCACTTTACTAACCAAGCAAAATCAGTTGAAATTTAGGAGTCTCTTGGTAAAGGATAAGCCTGCTTTGAAATGTCTCCATACCATTAGGAGCCATCTAAACCAAATAATCAGTGTGCACTCGTGCCTCCAACATAAACCAGAGAAAAATAAGAGATATTAAGTTATACAGAGTAGTTCTATACTCAACACCATTTGTTCATAGAAGGTTATGAAACAGCCTCCCCATGGGGTAGGTAGTTTCATTCATGTGGTCTTTATTGAATGCCAACTATGCCAGGCACTGAGGTTCTCTCAACCACAAATTTACTGTCTGAAGAAGACATACACAAACATTTAAATAAGGTATGTAAAACATCTAGCACAGTGCCTTGAACATTTATTGAAAGAATGTAATAAGCATTAGCTAGCATTAAATAATTTCACTACAATGACTCCACCTTTATTGACACACATATCACAAAGATGCAGGAAAAAAACAGCTTTCAAAAGAAGGGGCAGTGAGAGATAAGGGAAGGCAGAGATAAAGAATTCCTCCCAGTACAACAGAAGGCAAAGTCATCTGCTGAGAAATATGAGATACAGATAGGTTCAGGAGCATCCCTCCTTGAGGAAGTCAATTAGAGAACAGTAAAGAATTGCAGATGACACTGGGGATCTAACTACAACTAGAGAACATGAATCTATATTAATATCAATTAGCGTAGAATTTACTTTGGCAACGTTCTACAGAGTAGGAATGAATATAATGGAAAGAGATCTGCGTTTACTCAGTTGGAAATTTGGAAAGATGAGAGCCATAAAATAAGTCAAGGAGCAAGAATCTATAATTCAGTCAAAATTTATGAGACACAAACACCAAAAAAACCCCCCAAAATTAAAACTCTTAACCAAAAGATAAAGCAACAAGCAGAATGAAACTTACAGAGGATCTGCCTATTGGCATGATCACACAATAGACTTTAAAATAACTGATTAATATTTTGAAGAATCTAATGGAAAAGGAGAACAATATGCATGAACAGATAGACAATTTCAGCAAAAAAAGGAAAACTATTTTTAAAAAGTCAAATGGTAATGCAAAATATACAAAGCACAATATCAGAAATGAAGGATTTCTTTGATGGACCTAGCAGCAGACTAGACTCAGCTCTGGAAAGAATCAGTTGACTTGCAAATAGGTCAGCTGAAGTTATCCAAAGTGAATTACAAAGAGAAAAAGAGTAGAAAAAAAGATCATCCAAGAGCTATGAGGTATTAACAAATGGTCCAATGTACACGTAATTGGAATCCCAGAAGAAGGGGGGCAAACAATAATAAAAAACCAGGGCAAAAAATATTTGAAGAGATAAGAAATAAAAATTTTCCTAACTGAATAAAAAACAACCATAAATCCAATAATTTCAGAGAATTACAAGCAGGATATATACTTCGTGTGTATGTACATATACATTATCTCTGTATCCATACCTAGATCCATCATAGAACTCTATACTTAATGAGAATATCTTTCAAAATGAAAAAACTTTTCCTGCCAAACAAAAGCTACAGAATTCATAGCCAGTAGACCTGCACAATCTGAAATGTTTAAGAAATGAAGAGCACTGCAAGTGGTAAAAATGAGAGTACATATTTTCAAAATTTCTTTTCTCACGGTAATTGCTTTAAAAGTTTATTGTCTAAAGAAATGTATAGCACAAAGAATGGAGGAAATGGAACTCTAACATAGTAAGGTTCTTATACTATATATGTAGTGGTACAATATTATTTGAAAGTAGACTGTAAGGTAAAATGTATACTATAAACCCTGGAAGACCAGTAAAAATTAAGAGATGTAACGAAGAAACCAATAGCAGAGATAAAACAGAATCATTTTAAAAACTCAACTGATCCAGAAGGAAGAAAAAAGAACAAAGAAGAGGTGAAACAAATAGAATATAAGATGGTATACGTAAATCCAACCACATAATGTAGATGGTCTAAAAGATGTGACTGTTGATAGTGGAGGAGGCTCTAGTGTGGTAGGAGGGGAATCAGGGGGTTTAAGGAAACTCTCTGGACCCTCCACTCAATTTTGCTGTGAACGTAAAACTGCTCTAAAAAAAGTCTACTAAAAGAAATTCACCAGTGGGATTGTTGTAAATATTTGTCTGTCATCCTTGAATTAAGTTCCAGAAAGGTAGGGACTGTAGCTATCTTGTTCCCTGTTGCATATGTCAGTGCCTAGAAAAGTGCCCAACACATTGTAAATCCCTGCTTTCCTGATACATTTTATTTGTGGGCTAAGGTGGAGTGCTGGCTGGGAATGTAAACATCAATATATAGATGTATTATTAACAACAAAAGATATAATGTGATAAAATGTGAATCTTAAGAAACATATTTCTAACTAAATGTTAGAATTAAATGTTCTAACTAAACTAAATGTTACTGACTAAACATTCTTCACCATTATCTGTTGATCACTAAATATACAGCTCCGATAAATTATCTGGGAAACAAACTCTCAAAATCACTTAGAACACAAAAATAACTATTAGTATACAATAGGTGTGCAGAAGAACAAATTCACATTTTATCTTTTAAGGCCAATGTATCTAACAAAAGCAAAATGTGAAAGTATCAAATAAGTATCACTGGAAAGACAGACTTGGAGATTTTCAGATCATGATAAGCAACCCAGCTTTTCTTTGAAAGAAATTAATTAAGGTTTCCCTTCTAGTAACCAGCCAAAAAACACTTTTTCCTAAGGGTAAGTTTTCAATTGGAAAATCAAACATATAATTATTCTGAAAATATCTATATAAACACAACATAGATTTTTCAATGAAAACACAAAGCAGCTAGCAGCAATCCACTTCTGCATCCAGTCTACAGGACAGAACATACCATACTATGTTGCATATAATTGGCACTATAAAAGGCTTGCCCTATCATCTCTTTTGACATAAATAATAGTCTCTTTTTTCTTATTAAAGTTAAAGAAAAACCACTTACTGTTAACAATCAGTTAATCTAAATTATTTCCCGCCAAAAGGAAAAATTCCAAAATAATAATGTGTTTTATTTCCATATTCTTTACATAGTTTGAGTACATTATTTAGCACACTAATTCACTAAGAATCTACTACGCCACTAAGAATCCGGAATCTTTCCAAAGATAATAACTTTCATAGACCTCAATATTTTTTATCTAAGAGTACCCAGTGTGGAAACTAGTTTAAATGGAAAGAAATAATTGTCCTACTGAATTATTCATCAATGTACTTATTGTAAAACTGTCCTACTTATTTCCCCTTCTTCGGCTTCTGTTTAATATTTTCACTGGTAGACAGTTTGCTAACATATTAATTTTTAAATATTCTCAAATACCTAATTAGTTACTGTTTTGAACAAACTTAAGAACAAAGCAATGTTTGACAAATACGGTACCTGACAGAGGATGTTCTTGGCCCATGATCTCTGGAATCCATAACCCAACCAACATGACACTCTAGAGGGGGGTTTGTACTATGTCTTGTTTTTCTCTTTCTTGGACTCTAAGGAAAAAGAAGTCAAACATTGCAATTACTTTCAGTAGTGTGAACTTCACAAGTAAATTAAAACCCTCTGACTATAAACCAACTCAAACATATTCATACTGTGGATGACACATTATGAAATCATATGAAGTCACAAAACTCAAACATCTCACATACAAGTTACAAAACTTAACAAACAAGGCCCTTTGCTAGGTTTGAACACAAGGATTAAAGGAAATACAATTTAGGATGATTCTTTATTACACTTTCTGATCATCTTTAATTACACTATCCAATTGTAAAGAAGTTATTCCTTAACCTGAAAAAACATAACTATGGTAAAATATCATTTTTGAGTACTTCTTACAATCTAAACTATAAATTTTTTAATGTGATGGAAACTAACAAGTCTCATTTTGTAATGTTAAAGGACACAAAACGCAAGCTTTATATTCCTGATTCTTCCGCGTACCTGTACATCAACGGCTTTTGGTTCTTTAACAACAGGATAAAATCTCGGTGTTTTGTTTGGGTCTTGTAACCTGGGTGTTCGAGGTGTTTTTGGTGTCCTTGCAGGATAAATTCTAGGAGATTCTGGAACTCCTGTGGGCAATGAATGGGCCATTGTTGCTGAAGATATTTCTGAAACATCAAACACCTTTTGAGCTAATTCATCAGTCAAATCTGTGAAATAAAAAGCTGTTACCAGTATTTAGATGCTAGTAAACTACCTGACTTTGAGAACAAGGATAATTCTGAAATTCTCTACTCTCAAAGGATTTTTTCATTAGAAACATTTCAAATAAATAAGAAAGAATAAAAAATAACAAACGCTTGTCTACACACCACCTAGCTTTACTAAATTTTAATTTCGCTATTTCTGTTTCCGACTTTTTTTAAAAGAAAAATAGGCTAAAGCCTACTGTGTAACCTTTTCTAATTCCATTTCACTTTCCTCCTCAGAGATAACCAGCCTCTTAATTTTGTATTTTTATCTATTACCACAAATATATAATAATATTATTTTGCATAATTAACTTTTAAGTGACATAATACTAAATGCATCATTTTGCAAGCTTTTTCAGTCAATATTTTGTTTGCAACTTTACTCAAGCTCTCTATTTGTGTAGCTTTTGGTTTACTCATTTTTACTGCAGAATATTACGCTGTTATACAAATATAGCAAAATTTATCCATTCTCCTGAAGATACACATTTATGTGATTTCCAAATTTTTGGTATAACCAACAATACTGCAATGAACATTGTTGAACATGTCTTTTTGTACAGGTGCAAGCATTTCTGAAATGGACATGCTGAGTCTGATGGTTTGTGCATCTTCTGACTTACTGAATAGTGATTGCCAAGCTGCTTTCCATAGGGGTTTCATTAATTTATACTCTCACTAGCAGCATGTAAAACACTCAGCAATTTAACATCTTGCTCAAGACTGGGTTTTGTTCAGTCTTTTAAACATTTCTCCATCTCATGGGATTTACATGATATTTGCATTTCCTTGGTTACTAGAAAAGTTGAGCATATTTTCATATGTATAGTTATCACTCAGATTTTCCCTTTTCGCAAGCTTGCCATTCATATCCTTTGACTATTCTTCTTCTGGGTTGTTTTACTTATTAGTTAGTTTGTGGAAATCTTATGATAAGATACTAAGTAAGCAAGCAGATGAATCAAGTAGTAGTATCAAAAATATAGGCTCTATTTCTATATGGCTTCTCTTCAGACTTATCAATTTCTTTTGATTCAAACAACTACTGTTTGCTCATTCACTCAACAAATACTGAGCGCCCAATATATGCCAAGCACTGTTCTAGACACAAGTTTGTAAACTCATCCACCCTATTACCTAGTCTCCCTGTCTTGCCATTTCCCCTCCCAATCTATTTTCCTTAGTGTTGCCAGAATGCTTATTCTGAGGAGCAAATTAGGTCATTTCATATTTCTATTTAAAATCCTTCAGTGTATCCCTTTTGCCTCTAGGAGAAGTCTGGGTTCTTTATGATGGCATATAAGATTTTCTTCATTTTACCACATCTATTGTCATTCTCCCTTTGAATCTTGCTGCCCCAAATAGCAACGTACTTGTTCCTATTTTCTTGCTTCATACCTTTTCATATGCTTTTACCTCTGTCTGAAAGTCCCTTTCCCTCATCTTTTTACACAGAGGTGAACTCATATCCTTCCTTTAATACCCAGCACAGATGTTACTTTCCCTGGGAATGTAAAGCACTCCTTGAACATCTTCTGCCAACAGAATTAATCAATTATTTTTTGTGCCACCTCTGTATTTTATCCATTTCTTGTTTGATTTATTAAATTAAAATTTATTTTCTTACATATCACCCCATTGGATGCTAAGAACAAGTCTCAGTGCTTCCGTGAAAACAAGGACCACAATCTTATATTTGTATGGTAGTACCTACTATAGTGCCTAGGAAAAAGTATATCCCCACCCGATAACTGATAAAACTTAAATGAATTGTGTTAATGCTGTTTCTCCTTGTACCAAAAAGATATACAATCTCAAGGACAGAAATATGATCATACACTGAAAAATATGTTAAATCCTGTGCCTTTGCAAAAGAAATATTCAAAGATCCAGTAGCCATAACAACCCAGAAAATAGTAAGCTTCCTAGCATCCATAAATTATGGTCTCTAAATTCCATTTCCTACTGAGCTAGACTCCTAAAAGAAATAAAGTCTGGGGAACAAAGTATAATATGAGCCTGGGAAATCTTGAGCCAGAAAGCAATGAAGTTAAAAAAAGAAAATATCAGCATAGGTCATGAGGACACGGCAGCAAGATTTAGAGGATCCCACCAATCAAAAAAAAAGTGATCTTGGGGCCGGCCCCTTGGCACAGCAGTTAAGTTTGCATATTCTGCTTCAGCGGCCCAGGGTTTGCCGGTTCAGATCCCAGGTGCCAGACATGGCACCGCTTGTCAAGCCATGCTGTGGCAGGCATCCCACGTATAAAGTAGAGGACGATGGGCATGGATGTTAGCTCAGGGCCAGTCTTCCTCAGCAAAAAGAGGAGGATTAGCAGCAGTTAGCTCAGGGCTAATCTTCCTCAAAAAAATAAAATAAAATAAAATAAAGTGATCTGACCACTAGAAACAATGAGTGAAACGGATTAAACACATCAAATAAAAAGAGGCTCCATGAGTTCATAATGGTACTTTAAAACTTAATCACATTTGTAGGTGGCTAGGGCACTGACTCATTATTCTGAAAACGGATAAACTGAATACAAAGAAAGAAACAAGCATTTATCCTTCCTTTCCCATAAAAATTGAATTTCAAAGTAACCAGAGAGTTGATAAAAGAGTATTCTTTTTTCTTTTTTTTTTTGAGGAAGATTAGACCTGAGCTAACTACTGCCAAATCTTCCTCTTTGCGCTGAGGAAGACTGGCCCTGAGCTAACATCCACACCCATCTTCCTCTACTTTATACGTGGGACGCCTACACAGCATGGCGTGCCAAGTGGTGCCATGTCCGCACCCGGGATCCCAACGGGCAAACCCCTGGCCGCTGAGAAGCGGAATGTGCACACTGAACTGCTGCGCCACTGGGCCAGCCCCAAGAATATTCTTCTTTACAGAATTCTAGGTAAGAAATACAGAAGGAATGATAGAATTAGATGATGACTATTTTGTAACTCTAATGAAATAGAGGATCTAGGGAATATTCATCAATGACTGCTAAAACCATTTGGTAAAATGTTGAAGGGAGATTCAAGACCAAAGACATGATGCATGAAATAAATAACTGATAAGCTGGACTGCATTAAAATGAAAACTTCTGCTATGTGAATGACACTATCAAGAGAATGAGAAGACAAGCCACAGACTGGGAGAAAATATTTGCAAAAGACGTATCTGATAAAGGACTTTTATCCAAAATATACAAAGAACTTTCAAAACTCAACAATAAGAATTAAAACCTGGGCCAAAGACCCAAACAGATACCTTCAAGAAGGTATAAAGATGGCAAATAAACACATGAAAAGATAGTCTACATCATATGTCATTAGGGAATTGTAAATTAAAATAACATATCACTACACACCTATTAGAACAGCCAAAATCCTAAACACTGACAAACCCAAACGCTGGAGAGGATGTGGAGCAACATGAACTCTCATTCATTGGTGCTGGAAATGCAAAATGGTACAGCCACTTTGGAAGATAGTTTGGCAGCTTCTTACAAAACTAAACATACTCTTACCATACAATCTAGCAATTACTCTCCTTGGAACTTACTCAAAGGAGGTGAAAACTTACATCCACACAAAAACCTGCATACGAATGTTTACGGCAGCTTTATTCATAATTGCCAAAACTCAGAAGCAACTAGAAGTCCTTCAGTAGGTGAATGGATAAACAAACTGTGGTTTATCTAAACAGTGGAATATTACTCAGTGCTAAAAAGAAATGAGCAATGAAGCCATGAAAATACATGAAGGAACCTTAAATGCATATTACTAAGTGAAAGAAGCCGATCTGAAAAGGCTTCATGCTATATGATTCCAACTCTTCAACATTCTGGAAAATAAAACTATGGAGACAGTAAAAAGATCAGTGATCACCAGGGGTTCGGATGAAGTGGGGGAGGGATGAATAGGTGGAACACAGAGAACTTTTAGAGCAGTGAGAAATATATGAGATACCATAATGATGGATACATTGTCATTATACATTTGTCCAAACTCACAGAATGTAAAACACCAAGAGTGAACCCTAATGTAAACTATAGACTTTGGGTGACTATGATGTGTCAATGTAGGTTCATCAATTGTAATAAATGTACCACTCTGATGTGGGATGTTGCTATGGGAAGCAACATCCTTCACCAGACAGGTGATGGCTATGCAAGTTGGGGGCAGGGAATAAATGGGAAATCTCTGTACTTACTCTTAATTTTGCTGTAAACCTAAAACTTCTCAAAAAAAAAGTCTCAATAAAAAAAGTTGAAAGGAAATATCATGATGAATGGATCAAGCTGATAACATGTAAACCCAATGATCAATCATACCATCAGTAAAAGTGAGCCTGAAAGACATTATATTATGCAATAGGAAGTAAACAACTCCTCCTAAGAAACAGTCTTGCCACCACAGAAATAAAAATCATGAATATACTAAATCTGCCAAATCTAAATTCCAGCTCATAAGAAATAGACTGGATAAAGGAACATATTAAATGATATGAAGACACAATCAGGTAAATCTGGATCATAAGAAATCCGATGACAAATTACCAGCTTCTTCAACAAATCATTGGCATGGAAAAACAAGAGAAAAGGAATGATTATAGATCAAGAGTGACTTAATGGTCTCTATCGATCAAATGCAATGTGTGCACATTGTTTGGCCCTGATTCAAACAACCAATTTGAAAAAGATATATTTCAAATCATCAGGGACCAAACATGTTCTGCGTAGTAGATGATATTAAGAAATTATTGTGAATTTTAAGTAAAATAATGGTATCACAAAAATTTATATATATTAGTTCTCAATATACCACAAAGTATGTACAGAAGAAATGATATGATGTTTGAGATTCACTATGAAATGCCAAAAACAAATGGGAACAAGGTACAGCTGAAAAAAAGAATGACAAACTATTAACAATTGTTGAAATTAGATGAGATGGGTACATGG